TCATGCAGTAGTGAAGATTATGTTATATAATGTAAGTAAAATGTTTAACACGTAGTAAAATGCTTAAGCAGTGGAGTCTATCATTATTAATATTTTTAGTATAATAATTCTGGATTTGTGGTTTCTTAAGTCATTCAACATATATGTATTGGGTGATATAATCAAAGCTAAGACACTTAAAGCCTCTGAGTCCCATTTTCCTCATGTGCTGAAAGAGAAGAGTAATACCTGCTTCTCCACCTTCTGTTGTTGTTGTAAGGTGCTTTCCAGGGCTCAGGCATTTGACTGCTAATAAGAGGCTGGCAGTTCAAACCCACCAGCCATTCCTTGAAAGGAAGATTGGGCAATCTACTTCCGTAGTGGTAACGCCTTGGAAACCCAAGGAGGGGTCGCTATGAGTCGGATCCAACTCCCCAGCAGTGAGTGAGTGAGTGAAGGTTCTTCTGCCACAGTGGCTGCAACAGTGGTCTCAAACATAACAACGATTGTGAGGATGGTGTAGGACTGGGCAATGTTTGACTTTGTTGTAGATAGGGTCACTATGAATCTGAACTGACTTGACAGCACCTAACAACAACAAAGATTCTGTTGCTAATGCAGGCACAGTCCCCATTTTCTCAAAATAGTACATTCCTAGAATCTGCATCATAAGGTACATCTTACTACTCATAGAAACAATGGGATTGTGTTCTTGACAAAAGAATTGGAAAGTCATAAATCTTAAGTATATCCAACAAATGTGAGTAAATCAAAGCAGCCACACTCTAAAACTCTCATTGACATTTTGTAAGCCGTTTATTAGACTCTCAGGAGCACTAGTGGCTTAGTGGTTAAAGCATCAGGCTGCTAACCAAAAGGTCAGTGGTTCAAACCCACCACCCACTCTACAGAAGAAAGATGAGGCAGTTTGCTTCTGTAAAGATTTACAGTCTTGGAAACCCTATTGGGCAATTCTACTCTATCTTATAGTGTTAACTATGAATCGGAATTGACTCAATAGTGGGTTTTTGGTTATTGGACTGTTAGCCCCTGAATCAGTTAGGATGGTGAAAAGAAGAATATATATAACTTAAAAAGCCTTATAAAGTAAAGACATTTGCTATAACACAGAACAAGACACCTAGAGACTGGTTCAGCAGTTCTGCAGCATTCTCAGGGTCCCATGCTTTTTACCTCTTTGCTCTACCATCCTTCATGGATTGCCTTGACCCACATGCATTTCTCCTTATTGCAAGATGGCTGCCACCATGCTGGCAAACACACAAAGACCAACATTCAGAGGCATGGGTCATTTCTTGCATTGTGTTTCTTTTAGTGAGAGTGAAAGCCTTTCAAAAGCCCCCAGCAGACATCCCCTTAAGTTCCATTAGCCAGGAGACCAAGAAAGCAAGCACACTGTATTTTCAGCTTCTGTGTGGAAGATAAGGTCTGTCAACAAGGAGTGAACAGGATTGGGCCTCAGAGGGTAGGGACAGTTTTATTTGTCTTTCTACACACAGTTCTAAGCACTGTGAATAGGCCCTCTTCAGTGTCATATTTTACATAAAATACTAACTATAATGAATATTTTTTAAACAATTAACACTAGCTGGTTAATTAGAAGGTCATTTGGAATGGTTTCACTGGTGCAGGAGACATATAGATTTGTCCTCACTATTTTTTCTAGGTCTTTGTTTTGCATTGCCTTCTCTCCTTCATTATCATCAAGGGTAGCCTTGATGAGAGTGGAAGTATTACCTTGTGGGGGGAGGGGGAGTGTTAAACAAGAGTTAGACCTCTCAGGTGAGGCATTAGTGGCTCAGTGGTAGAATGCTTATTTTCGTTTTCTGGCCAGTGCACCTCACACACTCATGTTATCAGCAAGTGAAAACCCTATGAAGCACAACAGTCTGATCCACAGCACGTCATGTACCCATGGTGCAGGACCAGGCGCATTTCGTTCCATAATATGTACAGTCACCATGAGTCAGGCTGACTTGACAGCAGATAACAAAAAACAATAGTCTATTAAACAGGATGGGTCTGTGTGTTCAGGCAGAAGCACCCATGTGGGCAGAGGCATACAGGTATGAAAGATGCCAGTGTGGTCAAGGAGTCTCATGGAGTTTCATGTGGCCAGAGTACAGTGTGGAAGAGGAGATGTTAGAGGAATAAATGCCATGTCAGAGATTTGGACCATTTTTATAGGCCAGTGATTTTCTGACTGTGCTCTGTACTGTCCTAGAGGATCCACAGAAAGGGGCCACCATATGAGGGGAAGGGAAGAACCATCTGGCTGAGCTCTGGCCCCCTCCTCACCTCTGTTTTAGCCAGAGCATCTCTATATGTATTTGTCAGCTATACTGAGCTGCCATGGAATATTTTACAAGGGGGTGGGGGCCATTTCTGCACTTAGAAATATATATGTTGTTGTTGTTATGTGCCATCGAGTTGCACCTGACTCATAGCGACCCCTCCTTGGGTCTCTGAGGCAGTATCACTACAGAAGTAGATTGCCCAATCTTCCTTTTGAGGAGTGGCTGGTGGGTTGGTGGGTTTGAACCGCCAGCCTTCTGGTTAGCAGTCAAGTGCCTTAGTCACCATGCTACCAGAGCTCCCATATATATATACTCTTATATGTGACTAAGAACCACTGAAGGATTTAGAACAGGGTAATGACATGATGAGATTGCACTTAAGAAGATCACTGCTGTGACATTGTTGATAATAAACTGGAATCAGGGAGAAGATGTATAATTAATGAGGATCTGAATTAATGTAGGAAACATAAGAACAGAGGGTAGGGGATAGATTTTTAAATAGATAGGTCATAGAGAATGAAGGGAACAAGGGGGAAGATAAAAAGTCTAGGATAATGCCCTGGTTTCGATGTGAGGGAAAGTGTGAAAGTATGTGCCTCTATGGATAAGGGTAGAGTATTGCAGCCATGTACAGATGTGTTGGGGAGCATTACTGGCGCAGTGGTTAAGAGTTCATCTGCTAACCAAAAGGTCAGTGCTTTGTACTCACCAGTGCTTTGAACTCACTCTTTTTCTGCAGAAGAAAGATGAGGCAGCCTGCTTCCATAAAGATGACACCCTTGGAAAACCTATGGGGCAGTTCTACTCTATCCCGTAGGATCGCTATGAGTCAAAATTGACTTGACAGCAGTAGGTTTGGTTCTGGTTGACAGATATGCTTTGGGTAGGAGGAGTGCTGATGAGTTCTCTTTTGTAACTATTTGCTTTGAGCTGCCTTTAGCACAGGGAGATGAAAATGCCTACTAAGTAGCTGGTATAGACCTCAGGAGCATCACTCGGACTACAGGCAGAGATAATAGTGGAAGCCCAGATCATGGAAGTGCTGACCCACAGAGTGTGCAGAGTGAGAAGGAAAGAGTCCTTTATAGAGAGACAGCTCCAAGTGTTATATTGACATAGTTCCTTCAAACCATGTTGTTGTTAGCTGCCATCAAGTTGGCCCCCCATTCATGGTAACCCCATGAGCAGTGGAACAAAATACTGCCTGGTGCAGCATCATCTCTATAATCATATACATGAGGATGGATGAAGACCACCAGTATGAAAAACTGAGAAAAATAATGCCTAATTTTATGAATCATGCTTTTGTTTTCATTTCTAGTCATATAACTGAGTTTTTCTTTTTGTTGTTATTAAAATTTTTTCCTTGACAATTTCTAAGATTAGTCTTTTTTTTTTTTTTTTTCTTTCACGGCTTTTCAGATAAAAAAAAAAATCTTGAGTTAACCAACATTTCCTGTGTTTCCATTTCTGATCAAGGCAGGTTTTAGTTAAATAGGCTTAAGAATGGAAAATTTCCAACAGAACTATAATAACTGAAGATACTAATTATTCAAATTATTCTCCCTGCTCTTGATATTAACCTGCATTTGTGTTTTATGTCTACTTAAGAATTAGTCTTTTTTGTTGTTCTTTGAAGACTAAAGAACAGTTTAAATACAGTTTACCTTCTTATTATGGACTATAACCTTCTTAATGAGGAGGGAAATTTTAATGAAGACTAATTAATGACTAATGTTTACAAGTAAAGGAGTTAACGGTTGGAGCAAGAGATGAATGGATTCAGTATTTCAGCAGGTATTTGCATACTCAGTGGCTCTGTCAGAAGGGAGCAGGGAAAGGAGAGAAGCTACAAACAGGGCACCATGCAGGCAGTGAGGGCGGGCTCCAGTGAGACCTGGTGAATCAACTATATTTGCTTTTATCCACTCATTTCAAAAAGGATTTGAAGAGAGGTTGTCTGTGTTTTGCGTGGGCTCTAGATAAGCAGCTCTTGAGTCTTGTTTCTGTTCTGACTCTGACCACCCCACCACTTGTCTACCTAAGCTTCATTCCTGTCATCACCCTAAATTTTTCTGCTTCCAGCTTCACGGTCTGTCCTACCACACACTGGAGCTGACCTGTTCTGGTCACCAGTCTGTGCACAGGAAGGTTTGACCTCGGGGCCGACTCAAGAGCAAATAACAACAACAACACAACACACCAGCAGCTCCCTTGTGGCTCCACAGGATCTGGCTGTTGGCATCTGTCATTTCCTGGCTCTTCAAGGCCCTCCAGCAGAGGAGCCCACCCTGCCCCCATTCTCTTCACTTTCAACTGGGAATTCATAGATGCTCAGTGCCAATGAGAAGCAGAAAATATGTATCAATTGTCGGAACTTTCAAACTGATTTTGACTCTCTCCTAATCCTTTTAAATATGATATGTGTTTAAATTAAGAGTAGCAGAGACAAAAACAATTTGAAAAATGATAATGTAATCCTAGCCTATTTCAGTGCCATTCTAACATGGTTAAGAAAATTGACTGTCAGATTTGATCAATGTTATTGAAGAGAATGGCTATCATTACTGAGTGGCTGGAGTTAAATTCTCGCCCAGCAAGGGAGGTTTGAATGACTAAAGAATCCAGTCACTGTGAGAAGCAACTGAATCTCAGTGCATTGCTGACCCCCCTGTATTGCATCTCTCTTCTGTTTTTCAGGCACGACATGCTTGATTGCTCTGCTGTCAGATAAAGACCTCACCGTGGCCAACGTGGGCGACTCACGTGGGGTCCTGTGTGACAAGGACGGGAATGCCATTCCTTTGTCTCATGATCACAAGCCTTACCAACTGAAGGAAAGAAAGAGAATAAAGAGAGCTGGTGAGCTTGTGAACACCCTGAAGAATGTCTGCCATCTTTGGTGGACAGGGTGGCTGGCTGGAAGAGTCCCTGGGGTTTAAAATCTTTAGTTACCCAGTGACTAGTAGATGAATACATGGACTGCTGCTGAAGTAGCTGAGTCTTTGTAACGTTGTCTAGCAAATAAATGCCCACTGGATTTGCTTTTCTTTATGATCAAAGATTTCAAAGTGGCCAAAGAAGCCCTTTCCCAGTTTGAAGGCTAAGATCATTGGGCCCCCGCTTCCAGCACCCCAATTCTCTTCTGTTGCATGCCCCCTTCCCTCCAGCCACATGAAACTACTAACCATTCCCCAAACTTTGTTGTTGGTTTTTTGTTTCTGGTAATAATTGTTGTTGCTGTTGTTAGGTGCCGTTAAGTCTTTTGTGACTCATAGTGACCCCATGCAGAGTAGAATAGTCTTCCTCTTTTTCACTGATGCTTCACTTTACCAAGCCTGATATCCTTCTCCAGGGACTGGTCCATCCTGATAACATGTCCAAAGGACATGAGACGAAGTCTTGCCATGCTGTTTCTAAGGAGCATTGTGGCTGTACTTCTTCCAAGACAAATCTGTTCTTTTGTTACTCTGTGATATATTCAGTATTCTTCACCAACACTGTAATTCAAAGACATCGATTCTTTTTGGATCTTCCTTATTCATTGTTCAGCTTTCACATGCATATGGGGTGACATACAATATCATGGCTAGGGTCATGCGCACCTAATTCCTCAAGGTGACATCTTTATTTATTATTTATTTATTTTTTTAACATTTGAAAGAGATCTTTTGCAGCAGATTTGCCCAATGCAGTACATCTTTTTTTTTTTTTTTGTGATTTGGGTGAAGATTTACAGAGCAAAACACTTTACATACAGCAGTTCACATATACTTTGTCTCATATCATTGACCACAGTTTACCATAATGCAACAGCTCCTTTCCCCCTTCCTCCCCATAATTACCTCTTCCCAGTGTCCATTCCTCCATATACTCCTGCCCCCTGAGCTGTCTCCCTGTACATAAGCAGCCCTTCTTTCTCCCATGATTGTTCTCTCCAAGGAGTGTATCTACTTGAGGTAAATGTTTAACTCATATGCCTGTATTTTGTTTGGCTGGAATACCACAGGTGTGGGTTCAATTCCAGACCTGAAGGGCAGCTAGGGGCCATAGTCTCAGTGGTTCCACCAGGCTCTATCAGACCACCAATGCAGTACATCCTTTAATTTCTTGATTGCTGCTTTCATGGATATTGATTGTGTATCCAGGTAAAATGAAATCCTTGACAACTTCAGCATTTTCTTCATTTATCATGATATTTCTTATTGGTCCAGTTGTGAGGATTTTTGTTTTCTTTATATTAAGCTGTTCTCCATACTGAAGCTGTAGTTTTTGATTTTCATGAGTAAATGTTTCATTTCCTCTTCACTTTCAGTAAGCAAGGCTGTGTCAATCTGCATATCACACTTCTTCTAATCTTGATGTCACATTCTTCACATAGTCCACTTTCTCAGCATATTAGCTTAGCATACAGATTTAGTAAATACGGTGAAAGGATGCAACACTGATTTTAAACAATGATTTTAAAAAATGCAGTCTCCTCTTGTTCTGTTGAAACGATTGCCTTTTGATCTATGTACAGGTTCCTCATGAGCACAATTAGGTCTTCTGGATTTTTCATTCTTTGCAATATTATCCATAATTTCTTATGATCTACATATGCAAATGCATTTGCATAATTAGTAAAACACAAACATCTTTCTGGTATTCCCTGCAGCCAAGATCTATCTGACATTAGCAGCGATATCCCTCATTTCATGTCCTCTTCTGAATCTGGCTTGAATTTCTGGCAGTTCTTTGTTGATGCACTGCTGCAACTGTTTTTGAATGGTCTTCAATATAATTTTATTTGCATTTGATGCTAATGATATTATTCAATAATTTCTACCTTCTATTGGATCACCTTTCTGTGGAATGGGTACAAATATGGATCTTTTCCAGTTGATTGCCCAGGTAGCTATCTTCCAAATATCTTGGTATAGATGAGTGAGGACTTCCACCATTGCATCCATTTGTTGAAACATCTCAGGTGGTATTCCAGCAATTCCTGATTCCTGGAGGGTTTTTTTTTGTTAGTTTGTTTGTTTTTTGGACAATGCCTTCACCGCAGCTTGGACTTCTTCCTTCAGTACCGTTGGTTCTTGATCATATGCTCCCTCCTGAGATGGTTGACTGTTGACCAGTTCTTTTTGGTATAATGACTCTGTGTATTCCTTCTGAGGAGCAATGAATTGCTTAGTATGGCCCTTCTAGCCATAGTCTGTAACTCTTACCAAATGAGTGGGTGGGACTATGCAAATGAGGTGCTTGTGGCCCACCAGGGGGATTAGAAAGCTTGCTAATAATGTAAATAAGGGTGCATGGCACCCTTGTGGGTGTAGGACCAAGCAAATAAGGTGCATAGGACCTTAGCAAGGGGATGGGTCAGTTTTCCCATTCTTCTAGGCTTAAAGTTAGACATCCCTGAGACAGCAAGGAAGACCTCACAACCGTCATGAAAAAGAAAGGGGAGTGTATCCAATGGACCCAGGATTTCTGTGCTAAGAATCTCCTCGACCTAGGCGATAGACAGCTGTAACACCAGAGACAGCAAGGCACAATACAAAACAATAGCAGAGAAACAGCAGGAGCAGAACCAGGAGACCCACAGGAGATAGCACAGTGGGTTTCCCAGCCCATGGAGTGAGAAAGCTAAGCATTCTCAGGCAGGAGCCTTGCTGACAGAGTGCAGTGCCTCTGGGCCTTTGGTGAAGCTAAATTGCTGACCCACAGAACTAGAGTTGATTGCCTCCAGGCAGGAGGCTTATGAGTGGGAGTGGGCTGCCTGTGGGCACTTATCAGCACAGATAAAAGAACTTTGTAACACTTCTTGGAGCAGAGCAGAGGCCAGGGTTAGAGAGAAACCTACCTGCCAGCGCAGCTGAGAAGAAGCTGTCCTGATCAAAGAACTGTATATTAAGCATTCCTGAGCCTGAATTATAACCTGGTACTTCCCTAATAAACCTCGTAATTGTGAGTATGAGCTGTGAGTTCTGTGTGACCATTGCAACAAATTATAAAACCCAACAGAGAAGTAGAGAATGCCACAGGAGGGACAGTTGGTGTCAGAATTAGTAAAAAATGTTGGCGGGAAGAGGTATCTCTGACCACCACTCATAGGAATCAGCTTTGGGCTATTAAAACAGGTAATGATTTTCCCATTGTGAAGTTAGAGGAGGTGAGATGCCTCTCCACCAAGTCATTTTTCACACCTTCTATCTTCTTTTGATGCTTCCTGTGTTGTTCAATTTTCTGTCCATAGAATCCTTAAGTTTACTATTCATCTGTCAGTTTGTCATACTGTGGTGGCTTGCATATTGCTGTGATACTGGAAGATATGCCACAAGTATAACATTTAACAGCAAGGTCACACATGGTGAACAGGTTTCAATGGAGCTTCTAGACTGAGATGGATTGGGAAGAAGGACCTGGCAATCTACCTCTGTTAAAAATAGCCAGTGAAAAAGTTACAGATAACAGTGGAACATTATCTAATACAGTGCCAGAAGATAAGCTCCTCAAAATATGACTGGGAAAGACCTGCCTCCTCAAAGTAGAATTGACCTTAATGATGTGGATGTAGTAAAGCTTTCAGGACCTTCATTTGCTTTTGTGACATGACTCAAAATGACAAGAAACAGCTGCAAACATCCATTAATAACGAGAACATGGAATGTACAAGTATGAATCAAGGAAAATTGAAAGTTGTCAAAACTGAAATGGAATGCTCGAAAACTAATATCCTAGGCATTAGTGACTGACATGGACTGGTATTGGCCATTCTGAACCAGACAACCATATGTGGGAATGACAAATTGAAGAGGAATGGCATCACATTCATTGTCAAAAAGAACATTTCAAGATTTATCCTGAAATAGAATGCTGTCAGGTATAGGATAACATCCATTTACCTAGAGATCAGTTAATACTACTATTATTCAAATTTATATGCTAACCACTAATGCCAAAGATTAAGAAATTGAAGATTTTTACAAATTCTGCTGTGCAAAAATGATCAAACATGCAATCAAGATGCATTGATAATTAATATTGATTAGAATGTGAAAGTTGGAAACAGGGACACAACATAGTTTGAAAATATGGCCTTGGTATAGAAACAATGCTGGAGATCACATGATAGAATTTTACAAGGACAATGACTTATTTATTGGAAATATTTTTTTCAACAACATAATCAGCAACTATACACATGGACCTTGCTGAGTAGACTACAAGGAATCAAATGAACTATATCTGTGGAAAGAGATGATGAAGAAGCTCAATATGGTTGGTCAGAAAAAGGCCAAGGGCAAACTGCAGAATAGACCATCAATTGCTCCTATGCAAGTTCAAGTTGAAGCTGAAGAATATTAAAACAAGTCTACAAGATCCAACATATGGCCTTGAGTATATCCCACCTGGATTTAGAGACCATCTGAAGAATAGAGTTGATTCATTGAACACTAATGACTGAACACCATATGATCTGTGGGATGACATCAAGGACATTATACATGCAGAAAACAAAAGATCATTAAAATGACAGGAAAGGAAGAAAAGACCAAAATGGATGTTGGAAGAGACTCTGAAACTTGCTCTTGAATAGAGAGTAGCTAAAACAAGTGGAGGACATGATGAAGTAAAAGAGTTGAACAGAAGATTTCAAAGGGCAGCTGGAGAAGACAAAGTATTAAAATGAAGTGTGCAAAAATGTGGAGTTAGAAAATCAGAAGGGAAGAACATGCTCACCTTTTCTCGAGCTGAAAGAACTGAAGAAAAACTTCAAGCATCAAATTGCAGTGTTAAAGGATTCTACAAGCAAAATCTTGAACAATGCAGGAAGCATCAAAAGAAGATGGAAGCAATAAACAGAGTCACTGTACCAAAAGGAATTCATTGATGTTCAACCATTTCAGGAGGTAGCAAGGATCAAGAACCAACGTTATTGAAGGAAGAAGTTGAATTGCACTGAAGGCATTGATGAAAAAATAAGACTCCAGGAATTGACAGAATACCCATTGAGATGTTTCAACAAAAGGATGCAATGCTGGAAGCACTCATGCATCTATGCTAAGAAATTTGGAAGACAGTTACCTGGCCAACAGACTGGAAGAGATCCATATTTGTGTCCATTCCAAAGAAAGGTGATCCAATAGAATGCAAAAAGTATCAAACAATATCATTAATAATACCGCATGAAAGTAAAATTTGCTGAAGATAATTCAAAAATTGTTGCAGAAATAAATTAACAAGGATAACAATTGCATGTCCTTTAAGATTCACTTTAAAAGTATCCTTTTGGAAGTCTTTCCTGTCACACTATGCCAAAGGCTCCTCCCCAGTCCTGGGTTAGGGGCCCTTCACTGTCTTTCCCAGCATCCTATGTGGACGTCTTGTGTCACCTTTCACAATGTATGGATGTACCTGGCTCTCTTTTCTGTCTTGCCTTCCTGTCTATGAGTTCTTTGAAGGCAGTAATAGGTCTTATTTATCTCTATACCCTGAGTACCTAACACCGTGCCTGGTCTAAGTAAATATTTCAGAGGGGGGTCACTTATTCATTCATTGATTCAACATTCTAGGGGTTAGGAATATACCAATGCCTCCTGCCCCAAAATAAACAAAAACTCTTGTGAAATTTACGTTCTAGAGTTGAGGTAGGGGATTGGGAGGGAGTGCTCAAATAGATATTAACATTAAAAAGACAGTCAATTATGTAGTATGCTGGAAGATGCTAAATGCTATGGAGAGACATAAAGCAAGTGAGGGAATTGGAATTGTCAGGGGGTTATAATTTTAAATAGGATCATCAGGGTGGGGCTCTTAAGAACATAACATTTGGATAAAGACTTTAGGAATTTTCATGTGATTATTACGTTTTCATAATTATATTTGGAAGGTTCCTTTCTATCTGTGGGAAGGAGGAATTCTTCCCCACACTAGACCACCCCCTGCAGCATGGGGCCTCTGTGTAAGTACCAGGCTGCAAGCCCGGCTGTCAAGGGAGGCAGAATGTGCCTGCACACTGCCTGTGGGCCCAGGATCACCCCTGCTGTCCAGGCTAATTTGCAGGTTGACTCTCAGTCTCCACAGGTCAGCTCCTGCCCATAACCTAATCAACATTTGAGTTTTCACAGAAGGAAGCTGTACTGTTGAGTCAGAAAAGGTTAAATTGTATTACAACCCCCTGCTTCAGTGCCTGCTTGAGATGCAGAATAATTTTTAATGAAAGCTTTTGTCAGGTTTTTCTGTTGATGGGGTAGAATAAACGATGTTTTAGGAGCATCTATCAAGCTTTGATGAGCCAGGCAGTAAGAACAAAATATTGTGGCTTCCATACTGATGAAGCACCAACTCCACATAAGAGCCCACTATAACCGTGGGCTTAAGATACAGCTAGCCCCTCTCTTGTGCTGAGAGGGAAGGGGACACTAGGCAAGGATGTGTACACCATATACCTGGAAACGTCATCTTAACATCCAGTGCTCTCTTCTGAAATGTCACTCCCACTTCATCCTCCCTTGCCTTTCCTACCATATCCACCATTTCCTCAACCACCACCACTGTCACCCCAGCACACACACACACACACACACACACTCATACACACATATATCAGTGCAGTGATTCTTTATAGAAGCAACTTTGGATGCCATTTCCAAAGAGTTTAACCTATTATCTTTTGTCAGGAATTTGGTAAAGTGTGTATTTTATGGCAAGGCTTAAGGGACAAATGGGCTGATCACCTGTATGTATGTTTTCACTGACCCCAGCTTTCCTTTCAGGACATTATCCCCTTTCCTACTTAGCATGACAATAAACTGCAACCAGTCTGGGGCAAATCATGCTGATCTTTTCACCTCCACTGCTTATATAGCTGTCAGTTTTAATAACAACAATACTGATAGCAGCTGCCATTTATTCTGTGCTCATTATCTGCTAGGAGCCAAGCCTAGCACTTTACATACACTTTCTCTTTACCTACCTTATGGGGTCAATGATACCTTTCCTAATTTTACAGCCAAGAAACTGGAGCCTCAAAGAGGTTAAGTTACCTGCCCAGTGGACACACAGCTAGGGATTCATGAGACCAATTGAAAGTCAGATCCATCCGACTCTTGCCCATTGTACATACTTGGTGAATGTTTTCACTTATATCCTTGCCCATAGATGTTCCACCCATCATTTAAGGCCCAGCTTTAGTACTCCCTCCCCCTCAGTCGTCACAACCAGAAGCTATCATCCTTCCTTGCTCCATCTGCCGACAGCATGTAGCATGTCCCAGTCTCCCTTAGGGAATAGTGCGTTGTGCTTGTAGTTATTAATATGGCAGACTACTTCTTTGGAGGAGGGTCTGGGCCTTGTATAACTTAATATCCTGCAAATTGCCTTGCACTGAGTAGGTATTTAATAAAGATATGATGAAAGAAACATAAATGAACAAAGATCTGTTTCTCTTAATAATAGATAGTTACTGAATGTATATTATGTTTGGTCACTCTGGTAAGTGATTCATTTGAAATAATGCCTTTATTTCTCTATTACTGTCCCCATTTTACAGCCAGGGAAATCAAGGATAAGAGAGAGAGTTTCTCATTCACTGTCACATATAGCTAGAAATGAGAGAGCCAGGAATCAAATCCAAGCAGCTTGACCCCAGAGCCTGAACCTTTAACCACTGTGGTAAAAAGTGTTTTTCTTTAATCTCGATCCTATCTGGGGGCTTATTCACAGATCTGTATAAGCACACCTAAGGGTAGCCTTAAGTTCAAGACATATACCAGTATATGTCTTGGGGCCATCCACCTGACTTTACAGCATTCTTTTGCCACTTTCCGAGAATTCCCATCCTTGTGCTCCCTACTGTCCCCTTCCCTCTGTCAGTCACTAAAAGGCCAAGGTGTTGTTAAATTAAAACTGATGACCTCTCCCACACCTAGCTCCCTGTCTCCAATTTCCTTATTCATATATTCTCGAAGGCCTTCAAGATGTCAAGGATGAGGCCATGAGAATCTACTGGTAGGTTGCCAAACCCCAAGCCACACAGCAGGAATGATGCTTAGTACTGGCAGTGGGAGCAGGGAGGGAGGCTGCCCATGGCCCCCCGTTCATATCCAGTCAGCATGCACCCAGGCTGTGCTAGGTCTATACAATATCAACTAGTCACGCTAATGGGCTCTTTCTGTCTTTCCAGGTGGTTTCATCAGTTTTAATGGCTCCTGGAGGGTCCAGGGCATCCTTGCCATGTCTCGGTCCCTGGGGGATTATCCACTGAAAAATCTCAACGTGGTCATCCCTGACCCAGATATCCTGACCTTTGACCTGGACAAGCTCCAGCCAGAGTTCATGATCTTGGCATCAGACGGCCTCTGGGATGCTTTCAGCAATGAAGAAGCTGTTCGATTCATCAAGGAGCGCTTGGATGAACCTCATTTTGGGGCCAAGAGCATAGTTTTACAGTCATTTTATAGAGGCTGCCCTGACAATATAACAGTCATGGTGGTGAAGTTCAGGAATAGCAGCAAAACAGAAGAGCAGTGAACCCTTCAAGGGTCTCAGCTGCCTTAGACTAAAAGACTTTCGACACACTGGTCTCTTTTTAACGTAGTGAAAAGTGTGGGAGTTATCATTAGGATCATCTATCCCAGACATGGGTGTCCCCCTCCCTGGTGGTCTTAGGTATTTATTCAGTGATGAGCAAAGAGAGTTCTTGGCCAGTGTATATGAGAGGCTGGAAAGTGCTTTCTTCATATTTCCCCACACTTTTCATCTGATGTTCAAAATATATAAATAATAACTATAGATTCAGATGTATGACGTGAATGGCTTAAGTGCCATATATCTCCCTTTGAGGATTCTTTTAAAGATCCCTTGCCAGGTTCTCTAGGCATCACACTTTGTGTCTTCTCTTTGGAGGAGTGGACCAGGCAGGTCTCCCAGAGCAACAGGAGGCAGGCTGCAGTCACCTGTGAGTCAGGGCTGCTGAGAGGCAGGGCTGCCCTGACGTCTTTGTCCTCCTGAGCCCAGGTTTTCTGCTTGGCAGCAGCGCAAAAGCAAATTTGAAATTGTGTATTATTCCTTGGCTGCCCTTGGAGATTGAGGGAAGCGGGGAGAATAGGGGATCAGTGGCAGCTGCCTTCACAGCATAAATCACCCTTTCCCTGGCTCCTTTTATTAGTTACATTGACTGTGTCTACCACCTGACCAGCCTTTGTGCGTTTATCCTAATAGTGCATGAGTTACCTTAATAACCTTTTGCTTATGCCTTACCTTATGTAATAGGCAGCTGTTAAATTTCACCACCAGACATGACAGTTTTGTCTTACATTACCAAGAAACCATATTAGAGGAAGTGAAAAAAAGCAAGTCGCAATGACGTTATTCAGCCATAATTCCTTCCACCCTTAAGGGTAAATAGCGGGGGGAAAAATGAGGAGTGATTCACAGTGCCCCTTGGGAAGTCACTGTTTGCATTGGAGAGGAAATTGTGTGCTGGTGTAGTTGCAACCCTGAGTTAAGCTGCAGCTGCCAGTTTTTGCTTTTCTTTCCCACTCCCCCCCCATCTTAGTAGCTTTCAAGAGTCTTTCAAGCAGTGTTCTAAGAAGCAGCAGCCTAGAATTGCGTCCACGTTCCTTGAAGCAGAGTTCCCAGACACTGCCTTTTGGCATTTTGGTGACAAAAACCAGGGCAAGCTTCTTAAGATGGAAAAGAAAGGCAGCAGTAGTAGTATGCAGTTGCTAATCACTGTCCACAGGAGCTGGCTTTCCTCAGGCAAATGCAGACACACCCCCATCTGCCTGCAGGGACACCTGCCCACCCCCCCTCATGCAATGGAATTTAAGCTCTAAACCTTATCGCTCAATCGGTACAGGGTTATTTTTGGCCCAGACTTGCTGCTCCCGGTTTCCTATCACCAAAGTCCCGTTTCCAATCTCAGTATTTTACAAAATAATTTACAGAAAATGCTGGGTCATCCTGTTTGCCTGACTGAGGCGGCTCACACAGCCAAACAGGATTTTTTGTTATGTTTCGACCGGCAACCGGTGTGAAATGGCAGGTGTTCACCGGGTTTTGTTCTTTCCAAGCGGTTCTTTGTCGTTACAGCTTCTCACAGAACCTGTTCACTGGCCCCTTGCGCGCACATTGCCCCTCCTCCCGCCATCCTTGAGTTGTGCGCTTTCACAAAGCAGGTTCCAGGATGAAGCGGTAGCAGTGTGGCTGCGGAGGACTGCAGCCTGCCTCAGTTCCTCTCGGCAATGAGATTTAATCATGATTTCCCAAGAGATTTGCTGACTTTTGTATACTGTATTTTCCAGCATTAGAATTAGAACCTTGGTTATTATTTTCTTAGCCATAGAATGTTCTAGTACAAAATATCTGCCACCACTTTAGACTTAAGCATTTGCCTGTTCAGAGACACTTAATTTTTGCATTTATGCGTCTAGATTGGGGAGTGGTGTATGGAAAAGAAGGGCTGGTTGTGACCAGTGATGGGACAGGTCAGACTGCGGAGGATGAGTTTGGCAATTGGGGACATCCTGACTCCAGGAGGTTTAGGAATAAGCAGTTTCAGCCCGTTTTCACAGTACACAATTACTTTTTTTTTTTTTTTAAGTTAATGAAAAAATACATAATAACAAGGGAAAGACATTTTAAAACTCCACAATCATTTTAATTGTCTAAAATAAAAATAGTAACATCTTAGTGAAGATGAAAAAGAAGAATTACTAAATCTGTATTTACCCTGCAGAATTTCTTAATAGATGGTGCTGAGGGCCAGAGTTGCATCGTTTTCCCTCTAATTGAGGCTTATGAGGCATCTTCTAAAGTTTGCTTTGTAGAATTAATTCACTTCTGACTGTCACTAAATAGTGTGTTCCAGACTGCCTTTCTGCCTCTTGCCCCTCGTCCCACTTTGACTTGTAGATTTAAAGTTCTCACGTTTTGATTAATAATTGTCTAAAGTCAGAATGTTTTGTTTCTTCCCAGCATCTTCCTGGAGCTCTCTCTCCCTAACCCTTTTCCAGCTGTGGCCCTTTGGCAGACACTGCTCCTAGGGTGCCCTGTGGTGCACAGGCTGTTCCCAGTTTCTGGGGACCTGGGAAAGTTGAATCTAGCCATTAGGGAAATTGATTTGAGACGTTTGCAAGTGAAGCTTCCCTAAACAGCACTGCCAAAGCTTTGGAATTGTCACCCGAGGCTGCCCAGACTCCCTAACCGGAGCTTGTTCGCATTGCCAATGGTCCCCATGGTGCCAAATTGTGAGGTGGTTTTTACAGTCTTTTAGAAATGACGCTGGGAATGACCACGTGCTTATGAGTCCCCGGCACAAGGCCAAGCCCAGGCCCTCATGAATCACTGCCCCACTGCTGCTCCACTGGCAATTCATACTCTTAAAATGGGTTGGGATTGGGATCGGGGTGAGGTTAGCAGGAAAATTTTTTAAAAAGTTAACTGTATGCACAATTCTCTAATCAAAGGAATAAATAATACTTACATAAAAATCTCCAAAGCTAGTTCCCAAGACCTGCGTTTATTTTTCATGACCTACTTGCCCAAAGCATTTAACTCTGAAGTGTCTGTGTTCTGATACAAAACTGTATGCAATATATGCACATTACTGATAATCAGTGGCTACATTCTATTCCTTGATGTGAATTAAAGGTATTGGCTTCTTAAATCCTGTATTTGTTATACGAGTATTACAGAGAGCATTTTATAGAGTGAAGGGACATATATAAGCTGGATAATTTCAAACAGGCCTTATTAAATACAAGTACCTTGGTTTAAGTAAGGCATGGATTCAACCCACGTATATTTTGTGCAGATGGCAAGCTGGATTGCCTGAAAGTGATGGTATTGTTGTTTCAAGCTAATCTGAAGGGATCCTGGAAATTGAATGGATGGATGGTACTAGAATGGATCACTGGAGTATCTGGCAACATATAAGGGACTCACAAAGGTGTCAAGTACACCTTGATTTTCCTGATTTTTTTTTTCTGAGTGGTTTTCAGAGCTCCTGACTTTCTTAGAGTTGTGTCAACTCAAAAGGTTTAGGTTTAGAAAGGGCAAGATTTCATTGTGCATTTGAAACCATGGAAATATACTTCTGATGAGACCTGATTTTCCAGTGATTTCAGAAATTCTTTATTCCTCCTTTTGACCCTTCATTAGACTGATCTTTCCTTACATTCCCCCAAAATTGCCTTAGCATATCACACCAGCATTCTTACCCAGCTCTAGAAAAATGATCTAATAGATACCATACTGGGGCCTGTCTCATGGCATCTGCACTAAATCACTGATATGCCTGAGCTAGTTAGCTGCATACTGTCGGAGTAATAGAATCCAGTGTTCCCCAAAGAATGTTCTACAGAGCACAGGTTCCAAAGATGCTCTTCCAAATATAGGGTTCCAGAGTCAATTGAGTTTAGGAAACACATACTATCTTAGAAAGTTAGTACGTACAAGCACATTAAAGGCTTTAAATTAAATAGGGGAGAAAAAACATACTACCACATACGTAACATTTGGGCAATCTACTTCCATAGTGATACCCCCTGGGAAACCCAAGGAGGGGTCGCTATGAGTTGGGTCTGACTCAACGGCACATAACAACAACATACGTAACATTAGTTAGTGCAGTGTTTTTCAGATTAATTTTGCCATAAAAACCTTTTTTTGAGTAATACCTAATAACATTCCAAGGAACTAGTCTTCCACAGAACCCACTCTGGGAAAGTATCGTATCAAAATATTGCTGTTTTTTTCATTCGTTCTGCCTCTCGTATATCTAGTAAGTCACTGTGACTCTTAGTAGTAGTTCAGTTTGTAATTTAGAAGCATTAATCCTTTCACACAGAGGCTGACTTGTTAATAAAAGCAGTGTTAAGAAACAGTATGATTTAACTTGATTAGCAGAAGTACAGCAATCAGATGTCACCCTCTCGACATCTTCTCCCTTTTATTTCATAAATTAAAAAAAAGGAAAAGCAAGAGCCTTGTCATGGCTAGGCATTTCTCAAATTCATTCCAAGAGTTTTCAATTGCTTTTTTGCAGTTATTTTAGCTTTTTAGATTGAATAAAAATAAATATTTTTACATTTCATCACCATGGGATAGTAAAAAGAAAGGGGGGGAAGTATATTTGATTTTAATTCATTTTTCAGATTTTAACTAGACTTTTAAAATTAATTCTTCATTGTGTAATAATGGAAATGTAAAATATGAACACATATTTATTGTTTTCTCTGTTCTCTCCAAACTCAGTGAATAATTTGAAATCAGTTATAGCTCATGTATTGTATGACTCCCTTCCCCCGTGTCCCGCCTTTCCTGTTTCATGTGTATAGTTAAGTTTGCCAAGACAGCTCTTGCCTAAAATGTAAGGTTTCACTTTTGCTCCATAATTATCACTCTCAGTCTGGTCAGTGTGTTTGGGAAGAAATGAGAGATACCCCAAAATAATGTATGAAATAAATCTAGTCGAAAACTTGATACACAGGTACACAAAGGTAAAGTCATCAATTTAAAATGAGAAC